CTGTAACTTAGCACATGAGTTTCAGAAGTTGTTAGAATTGAATTCAAGCTAGCAAATCACAGTTGTTAAAAAAAATAAAATAAAAATAAAAACCTCTGGTGAGATGGGACAACAGCCTATAAAGAGGTCTCAGACCAATCTCAATTCCCTGGGATGATAGTCTATCATATTTTATTTTTATTTTTTAAATGTATCAATATATGAGGAAAAAGGTAGTAGGACAGACATGGCCTTTAACTGACTGAGAAGTCACCCTTCCCACCCCAGTTAAAAGACTTTAAAATATTTTATCTTTAGGCTGTATTTCAATATTTAAACTGTCAAATGAACATTTTCTGAAAAAAGATAAAGAGAATATTTTTCATACCACTGATAGATGAGCTGATTCAAATGAAAGTTATTGTATCCTGTTACAAATAAAGAAAAACTGGCATTTGAAGGGGTTTCCTTAAAGCACACATTTCTAATTTAGTACCAAAAGTATCAGCATCTACTCTGTTACAATTAAGATGGAACCATTGCTCGGAGATGAAATGGTGTTCTTTCAAGGGTAGTTTATATGGCGGAATGCACTGCAGCGTGCAAAAGGAATTTTACATCCCTTACATGCATCCCTCTCTGTGAAATGTGAAAACTATAAATGTATCATCAAATTTATAGATTTCAAGTAACTGCACTAAAGAAAATGGGACGGAAAAATATTTGACTCTTGAGGATTTTTATTCTCCCAGGCCATATACAGCCAGAATCATGATTACTAAGATGTTTTTAATAGACTTGTAGTCTGTTCTGAGTTTTCCAGGGGGTAAAAATGTGCTCTTTGAAGTTAAGTATCCACCTATCTTATATATGTATGTATGTATATATAAAACCTTCCATGCAGAGAAATGTTTTTCAAATAAAAAAAGCTAATGCACCTAAAATATGTGAGAAATTTGCATCTAACTAAGCAACACGTAACAAAGACTCCATCTTACCTTTTCATCTCAAAATGTGGAGAAAATACTAGTGAAATCTAAAATACAACTTCGTAAAGCTCACCCAGTAATCTACTAATTCTTGTGGCTGGAATGACAATCCATACTGAAAGTAACAACTTCCCCGAGGCATAGTTACCATTTCCTAACTTACATTTTACCTGGGTTGGCAAATGGTTTCCTACTGATGAAAGCTGCAGTTCTTCCCAGCCATTACCAGTATACTTTCAACAGCATCGCATAAAGACATGAACTTCCACACGCAGTTTACAATCATACCTAACTCCTTCACCTTCTGATGGCCGATCTGTCAGCAACAATCAACCTGCTTCTTCTATTCAGCTCTCATTCAATCCATCTTCCTTGTATAGCCTTTGGCCAAGTGGCTTCTCCTCCTCTAAAAACGCCCCCATGTCTGCATCCCTGCCATATTCTGTTCAAATATGACTCCTTATTAGGCTCCTTCACCTCCCAGAAGAATTCATTTCTCTCCTCTCTCTGTTTTCTTTACAGACATTGCCATTACAGCTCTGATAATATAGTAGTGCCGGGCACCTCTAAGAACCAGTGTCATATAGTGAGCAACAAAAAGTAAGGAGTTGGAAGATATTTGTATCTAGCCTCTATGTCCTACCATGGTGGGACATGGGCAATTTGGCTCCGTTCCCTGACTTATAACAATGGTACCACAGTACTACAGCAGTATCTGCATTTACTGGCTTGCTATGAAGAATAAGTGTTTCTGGCATATTATCTGTTATCTTATGAAGATTTAACATCCTACCTAGTGTCTATATAATGGATGAAGTAACACCTTAGAGATGGTAGGTATGTTATGTTTTGTAATGTGAAGAATTAGTACCTAGGTTAGGATCTGCTGCTACATAGTCGTCTTGAAATCATGCAGTACTTTCTTTGGAGAAAAAGTCAAGGACTGGTCAAACAGTAGCAAGCAAACAACAAGCACATGCTCCACAAGAGAGGGCAGGGGTTGTTCCTTTGCTTGTGACTCATGACTCACGGAATAAAACTGGATGGCACAGAACTCAGAATGGAAAGCAGCATGGGCATTTGCCATGATTTCTCTGAAAACATGTTCTGTCTGGTTGTGTGGTGCTATCCAGTGCTGCCGGTTACTGAGTGTTCCTGTTGTGGAGAACAGTCTGGTGCCAGTCTTCAGAGCAGATTTCATACATGGAGCCTACCTTATCCCAGACCTCTTTCATCTGAATGTCAACTAGGAAGAAAAAAATGTTGTGGGGATTCCTTTCCTTTTGAGAAAGAAAATAATACTTTTTAAAAACACACAACTATTACAGATGAACAACATCTAAACTAGAACAGACTTAACATATTGTAAAAATGACATCTGAAGGGCTTTCCTGGCTGAGCAATGCATTCAACATGTATTTCCTTAAGCGAATGTAACCATTCCCACATGGATCTGACTCAGACTAGAAAATGTTCAGAGTGCTTTTCCTAATCAACTTCCAGAGAAAATTTACCAATTGTTGCTTGTTTGTAAGCAAATCAAAAGCCAACGGAGGGAGGCCATTTCTGCTCTCTGTATTGTGTCCAGAGAACAAAGGAAATAGCACTTTGTCTTCATAGAAGAGGAGTTTAGAAACAACCTGACATTTTAAAAAAAATACTCCTTTGTTCACTTGAGTTGTTTTATAACTTCCTTTTTTTTACATTTTTATTTTTTAAACAATCTTTTTTTTTTATTTTACATACCATTCCCAGTTCCCTTTCCCTCCTGAATAATTTATTTATTTTTATTTTATATGTATTGACATTTTGCCTGCATGTTTATCTTCTCTTGGAGTTATGCAGTTGTGAGCTGTCATGTGGGTGCTGGGAATTGAGCCTGGTCCTCTGGAAGAACAGTCAGTGCTCCTAACTGCTGTGTCATCTCTCCAGTCCCAAGGGGTTTTTATACATTTTTGAAGTCTCTTTTCATCTTCCAAAAAAAGCAAGGAAGCAATTCTTCTTAAATAATTAGCAGTGATGTGTTCAGGTGCATGGCCCTCCCTTCTGGCAGAGACTGGATGGATTGTGTCACGGGAGAAGCCTAGAGTGAGGAGGACAGGAGACAGAATCTGCCACTTAGGTTTGGTTGCCAGCAGGAGTATAGTGGCAGCAACTTATGGATGTGCCAAAAAAAATTAGGTTCATAGGTCAGACTTTGACATGTACAGCAACCAGAGTTGCCAAGATGTGTGGCTCGGTCCCCAAAAGGCATCTAATGTCTTCACTCAGAAAGTAAACCCTTTTCTACTCTTCCACAAATATTAGTAGAGACATTTGTCACTTAGTCCCTTGTTCCCGGGTTAGACAAGCCAGAAGAGAGAGGACCAGCACTCAAACTTTCACACTCACGAAGTGAGACAAGCAGCTGCCAGCTACGGGGCAGCAGTTGTTCCAGGGAAAGTCGGCAATGAGAAATGCCAAATTCAGGCGTTTTTGTTGTTGTTGCTGTGAATGAATGAAATATATGAAATGTGACACATTTTTTCCATATGAAAGAATTTCTGTGTGGATTATAAGAGTCTCAGGGGAAAAAAAAAACAAGAAAAAAAATAACATTCTTGCAAACATTTTGGTGACAGACAGTATGCAATTGGAAGAAATTAGTTCAGCTTAAAACCTGGACCATGCAGCTTCACTTTTCCCTCCATTTCTTTTTACTGCCTCTGCGCTCCAAAGTCTAGATGTAAGTCCTTACAGTTTACCCAAAGCTTTGGACATGCCAGTGCCATTTGCCCTTCACTAAGAGCTGAATGCAATGTAGGGGAGAGACATTCTTTCCTTTTCTTTCACTGAGGGAAACATAACAAGCCAGAACAGACTCCAGGCTAGGCTTCAGGATGGAGTGATTTTTATTATTTCTAACATAGCTATTGACAAATGCTTGAAGGCAATATTCAAAAAAAAGAAAGAAAGAAAATAGCTTTCATTTTATGCCTTGGAGGCCAGATTGGTTACGATTTAATTTCTAAGAGGGAAATTTTATAGAATAAAGTGGCCCAACGTTTCTCTTTCTTCACCACACATATGAGAAATATAAGCTACAGGGACATCTGGAGAGGACTGTTACTCACTAATCAGACGCGAAATCCAAACCACTGATACTTTGATGGAGACAGACATCACTAGAGTCACAAGGAAGAAAGCTGTAATGCATTGCAGGCTGAAAGACATTCCATATGCATTTTCACCTTTTGGGCAGTTCCAAAGCGCAATTCTATTTCAGAAGCCCTTTGTAATCTGATACCCACTGTAGATAAGATACACTGTGAAGATAGTCTGTTTTGCAGCAGCAAGAAATCAAATTGGTTCCAGAAGCAAAGTTATATGACAAATGGTTTAATAGTATTGCTCGAATTGGAAAGGTCGACTGAATTATTTTTCATAATCATTTTAGAAAAAGATTTGAAAATAACTTTGCCAAGCCATGTGGGGTGGGGGTGGGGATGTGGGGAATAAGGCTGAGGTGAGGAAGATATCTCATTTTATTGGCTTTATAATTTGTTATTAAAATTTAGGAGCTCAGTGGCAATTTATTATTAAATTTTGTTTACTACAAATATTTTTAGATAAAAATAGTACTGGATTTAAATGTGACTAGCTATGTTTTGGAAGATTAAATAGATTAACCACTAGAGATGCATTTTTTATTATCATTTCCAAGATATTTTTAGTTTTCACCAAATTCTAGTCAGCTTTGCCTTATTTAAAAAGCATCTGGAAAAGTTCATTAAGACTTGGCACATTTTAGATTTTAGAAAAGGGGTCTTCTATACAGTAGTGTCTTGGCAAAATAACTCAGAACCTCGTGGATGTAGGTAAAATGGAATCATTTTCCTGACTGAAGTTGGAAACAATTTAAATATCGCTTAGCCCACAACACAAGACTACAAAGATCTAGCAGAAATCATAGTTAAATAGGAAGTGACTAGACACTTATGGCTATTCTCTAAAAAGTCAGAAAAAAATAAGGTTTTCTCCTTCCGTACTTACAGTCTTTGAAGACCAAAGCCGGGTCTCTGTGAGGCAAGGCTTGGGCAATGATGTGCCTTAGAGATTCCAAGGTTCTGTCCATCTCGACTCTGACTGTGCAAGCCGGCTGCACAGCGTCCGCATGCCTGAATTCTCGCAGCTCTGGACTGAATTTGTGCAGTTCATTGATGCACTGGATTACCGAAGAATCCCTTTTAACATCTGCCAATCAGACATTTCCCAGAATCTAAAGACCCTCAGGGCCCTCCTCTCAGGCTCACTTATCTTTGTTGTGTTCTGAGCTAATTAGCCTGAAAGGCTGGCTGACAGGCTGGTTCCCATTGCTTCCCCCTGTTAAACACACCCACCTACAGGCTGGCTCGGGAAGCTCACTAATCGTGGGAACAGAGTTCCTTTCCAAACAGATTTTGCCTGGGCTGTGCTGCGCTGCCTGCCTATTTGGGCATTTCTTTTGGCCTTCTATCTTCAAATGAACTGACCCAGGAATAAGAACTCAAGAAGCACGTTTCTCAAAGCAATTTACTAAATTACAAAGGAGAGGCTCCTGGAGACTGCCATAATTGTATAACTACTATAACCAACATAATCTAAATTCCTGTTTGGAAAAGAGGGTACTACAAATATTATGATTGAAGTTAAATTATGCTTTATGAATGCATTCAGAATCCTCTCCCCAATGACAGTGGATTCTGGTGAACAGTACCAAGCGAAACCTGGTGGACTGTTTTGTAGCTTGCATGACCACACTTATTCTATTGATCCCCAAACAAAACCATTCCTAAGACTGACTTAATTAATTGTGATACCACTCACTCATAATAATTCATTCTATTAAAAATATCAGGGTGAAGGTCTGGAGAAATGGCTCAGTGTATAATGACCTTTGTTGTAAAAGCAAGAGGACTTGAGTTCAAATCCTTAGTACCTATGGAAAAGCCAGGCATGGCTGCATGTACAAGTAACTCTAGTGTAGGGAAGCAGATGGATCCCAGAACCCGTCTACCAATCAAGTTAGCAGAAATAGGGAGTTTCTTATTCATAGCAATACTCTGTAAAAAATAAGGTGGAGAGTGACAAAAGAGGTTATATAGTATCATCCTCTGAACATGAACCTACATACACTACCAGCACCATCACCACCACTACCACCAGCACCACTACCACCACCACCACCATGACTACCACCACCTACAACAATAGCACTACCACCAACACCACCTACAACAACAGCACTACCACCAACACCACCTACAACAATAGCACTACCACCAACACCAACACCAGCAGCAACATCAACACCAACACCAAAAACAACAGCAACAAAAGTGACAAGAATTTCTGGTGAGCAAGAGCAAAAAATAATACCTTTAAAAGAATATAGACATTATTAAAAAAACATAAATCATATTTTTCCTATGATCTCTACAGCATCCATAACTATATGTAAAATAATATTTTGACAAGAGACAAACATGTCATGTGATCACATTGTAATTATATGTAATGCCAGAAATAAAAAAAACAAACCTGATTTTAACATCTGTTAGTTGTTGAGGAGCTGTGGAAGACCTCTTTGCTTTAAGTCTCCCCACCTGAGCCCCCTGTTTAAGTCTTGTTACATGGCATTCACTACAGGTTGTTTTCTATAATGTTCTTTCCAACTTTCACATCCTATTATTATGAAACTCATCCTTTAAAGATTGTGTATAAATAAAATGTCTTTCATGTGAAAATTTCTTCAGCTACTTATACAAGGGAGGGCTTAAAAATGAAGAAAAGGAAAATCTAGCAGTAATAGTAACTGTCATTATAATGACTATTTTCTGGCAAATACTCACAGGAAATACAGGCCACGGAAAGAAGAAACTCAAGGCTGCTCCATGGGAAAAAACATTAAATGAAATTACATATAGATCTATGTATATTTCATATGTATGCTTGACCTTAACATGAAGATATTTACTTTGGGTCACAATGTATACTTTATATGACCTGCACTAATTTGTGAACAAGTATGTGTGTGTGTGAATGTGCATGTGTGTATGTTGCTGAAGATCAAACCCAGAGATGTGCACAGGCTAAACAAGCAATCTGTCACTGAGCAACACTTCATACCAGAAAAATATTAGTTACTGTAGTCCAAGAGCTCAAAATTTATCTTTTATTTGGAGTAAATAAGCTCCTAATTTCAAAAATAAACTGGGTGACTGGTGGTTGAAAACCAACCCTGTTGCCCTGAGAATAGACACATGGTATGAATGAATGTAAGTGCTTTGAGAATAACATAATATTGGAAACCAAGACAATTAGTGTTCTCATTATAGAACCAGGACAAATAATATGGATTTCCCCAAGGAATGACACTGATAATAGGAAACAGAAAAGTTAGAAATGATTCATGCCTAGATTTTGATCAGTAAATAGGCTTTTCCTGTAGACCTAAACTGAATATAACAATTCTTTAAAACATTTATGTGTATGAATGTTTTACTTGCATTTATTTCTTTGCACTGCATGTGTACCTGGTGTCTATGAATGCTGGGACATTAACCTGGATACTCTGGAGAAGCAGTCAGTGCTCTGGAAGAGTGGCCAGTGATCTCTTGAGACTCAAATAGCGTAGTAGAAGGAACAATAAATGTGGGCTCAATAAGGCCTAGAATTATATTTTTGTCATCTAACTGTGAAAAGCCACTCATCTCTGAGTTTACATTTCTCTTGCATAAAATCAGAGAGTTATTCTGAATGCTCTATTTACATTCTAACACCTATGACTTTATGCTTATAAATGAACACAAATGTTTGAACAGCTTTTCTAGATGTCTAGAAGATCATATATTCATTTCACAAATGGTAGACTGATATTCAGAAAGTCGCCTCTAGTCCCAGGCAGCTTAACCATTCATTCATAGGAGACACAGAAGTCAATATGATGAATTAAAAGATATTCACTGACACATAGGAATTTGTAAAAAAAAAAAAAAAAAAAAAAAAAAAAAAAAAAAAAAAACCTATGAGCATCACTCTCTCTCTCTCTTTTTCCCCCGAGACAGGGTTTCTCAGTGTAGTTTTGGCTGTACTGGAACTCACTCTGTAGGCCAGGTTTGATCTCACAGAGATTCACTTATCTTTGCCTCCCAAGTGCTGGGATTAAAGGTGTGAGCCATCACCACCCAGTAGCTATGAGGATCTTAACAAAGACCCTCACAACAAATTTGCCATGCTCAAAGAAACATGGTCTTTCACATTAGTAATGAAAGCAGTAACTTTAATGAAGGCAGACCATACAATATCAAAGTTAGCACTGTTTCCTCATTAAGTGCAATCTTTCAATAAAAGTTTTCCTACGCCTCTGCTTACACATTCTTCTTTGAATGCTCATAAGAATTTCTTAGATCAAACTTCCATTAATAGCAGTCAGAAAAACTACTATGTGGTTTCTTACTTTACTTTGATGTAAAAAGCAACTGATGGAGACGTGGGAGGGACAGGGAAACCTTGAGCAATGTGTGTATTTTAACAGGGATTTATGGCTTTCACTGTGAGCGTCGATTACCTGACGGTTATGCCAAAGGTACAATTAAAATATGTGACGTGGGATTTCCCTCTGTATGCTCTGAATTTGTTTTATTAACACTGGTTAACATAGAAGCTGCTTCAGCCAATGGCTTAGCACAGTACATCCAGGTGGGAAATCTGAACAGAGATACATAGAGAGAGTAGGTGGAATCAAAGAGATGCCATGCAGCTGCTGAAGGAGACAGGTGCCCTGGAACCTTTACCAGTAGGCCACAGCCTGGTGGTGATACATAGATTAATAGAAATGGGTTAATTCAAGAGATAAGAAGTTAATAAGAAGTCTGAGCTAATAGGCCAAACAGTGTTGTAATTAATATTGTTTGTGTGTGATTATTTGGGTCTAAATGGCTGGGAAACAAATGCGCAGTCTCTGCTTGCAAAATGGCTCACCAACATAGGCAACTACATCCTTATAAAAACTGAGAGAGTTTAGGAAGGAATTATAGAAACAAAAGAACAGAGTTAAGCACAGCTTCTTGGTAGCCGCATTTTTCAGATAGACTCTGTTTGCTGGCAGCAAGCAGAGGAATGACTCCTTTAAGAGACGTTTTCCTGACTCAGTGCTAGCAGCAAAAAATTGCATGCATAGCTTCTTTAAGAAATGGCTTCCTGGTTTGTACTGGCAGCACAAACAAATGACTCTGGCTCTTTTGAGAGGTCGGGCTATGAAGAATTTGAATGGGGTTTGTGGGCAGAGTACTACAAGTTGATTAATGGTGACATAGATCTGCTGTACCCCTGGAGCTGGAGCAATGAGCATGGATCTTAGAGTTAACAGTAAATGTACCTCTGCCATATTGAAAGGCCAAGAGAGGCAGTCAGCATCCAGGGATGCTGCAGCTAAGCTGCTTACCATTTAAAAAGTACTCCTGATCAGAAAATGATTACAGATATGCAATAAAGACAGATTCAGACAGAGACAAACCTCTAAATAGGTTACAGTTTTGGATAAACGCACATAGGCTTGGGGGAGAGAAGAAAAAGAATATAGACAGTTAAAAAATAAAACAAAGAGACAGTAAAAGTGTAATATAAAGGAGTACAGACAGTCACGATTAAAGGGGTAAAGAAAAATAAGCCATGTAAAGATGGAATGTATACAGACAGTCTGGATCATGTATATTATTGTGTTTTCTTCAAATTTTTTGATTAAAGAGAGACATTTGATTCTGGGGGCTGCTAAGTTAAACCAACATAAAGGTATCTTGACTTCAAAATTTAGGTCTAAGGGATATGTTGCTTTGGAAAAGAGATTCTACTTTGGTTTCTACAGAAGACGAGAACCTGTGGATTCCTTCCAGGCTAATGTGGTTTGATGGAATAAGATCCCTCTGAAATGTCTCCATGAACCCCTAAAAATACTTCACCCAACAAAAAACAGGATGCAATTTGGGGAAAACTATGCCCAAATTCCCAAAATGATCATTTATAAATGTTTGTCTTTATTTAAAAGGGGTTGGGTATAAATTGTTAATGGTCACAGTCAATCTCTCAAAAAAAAAA